GCGGAGCCTGCCGAGAGGCGGTGGTGTCTCGGGGCCCAGGTGAGCGGGGCCCCGCCGCGCCGCGCATCCTCCTCCTGGCGGCTGACTTCTTTGTGTTTTGTTTTCTGCCCCGTGCCTGTCTCTGCCGCAGGACCCGTTCGTTCTTCTGCAGGCTACAAGAAGGCAGAGGATGAGATGTCCCGGGCCACGTCTGTTGGAGACCAGCTGGAGGCACCGGCCCGCACCATTTACCTCAACCAACCGCATCTCAACAAATTCCGCGACAACCAGATCAGGTAGGAGAGGCCGGCGCCGAGGAGTCCGCGCTGGCCTGGGCTCGCCCCCCCACGGGTGGCTTCTCCGCGCGCCCGACGCGTCCGCCCCCACCCGGCGCCCGCGTCCACGGCTCCGGAGAACACAGCCGCTGCCTTCTTCACCTTTGCATCTGTGCTGTGCCCAACCTGTTTGCGGGCCCCAGGAGGTTTTATTCCAGTGTCACTGGTGAAAGTCTTTCATCCCTGGGGCTGCCTTTCAGGAATCCTCCTTCGTCTCATTTTAATCTGATTGATATATTTTAGATAGCAGACCAGAATGTGGGGAAGTACTTTCCAAGGGAATCCCACAGGTCGTCAGGACCCACATCCAGTCCTCAGTGGCCTATGACCTTCGCTAGCAGGTCTTTATTTGCTAGGAAACTTTGCCCGTAGTTAGCGGATAAACTGAGATGAGTCAACATTTAAGTATCAGTACTGCTCTGGCTGCAGTGTCAGATGCCGTAAGGGTAGCAGCTTAGGGAATCTCCATCGCTGCACAAAGCAGGCATTATTACTTCCAGATCAGGAAACCGCAGTTAGAGATGCTAAATAATGTACCCATGGCATATCGCTACTAAACGGCAAAGCTGGAAATCAAACGCGCCCATCTGACTAGCAAGCCAACTCTGCTGAATGAAGCTAGTTTTTCGTCTTTGTGTTTTTGCATGGATGTTAGTGCATTTTTCAAATTTCATCAAAATTTCAGGTTTAGACAGTTTTATGCCTGAGAGTGATAGTGTAGCTCCGTGAGCTTCTCAGAATACCATGCTCACATCTAGAGCAGCTCAGTGATCAGGTGACATAGGGCTTACTGGTGAACTTGAATCCCAGCACAATGTACTCTCTTGAATATTTTGGCTAAAGCCTGGTAGTTATGTCTAAGTATTCCACTACTGTGTAGCACTTGTACTGGCTGCTGAGCTTGACATTTTTATTTAGAAAGGCCTGACTGCTGGACAGTATTGTAGCTTGCAAAGATTTGACATAGAATAGCAGCAAGTTATGTGGAAGTAATGCTTTCAGGTTAAAGGGGTGTTATGCTGTGTTAGCCTTGTTTTGGCTAACACCAAACCTGCATCGTGGAAGACTAGTGAGGTCCTCATTCTAGAATGAGTGGCTTCGTTTTAACATACTGAGCATTAGCCACAGTGAATTACCACTTTACAAACAAGGGTGGTTCTCTTCAAAAAGACAGGTAATAAATGTTGGCAAGGATGCAGAGAATAGAGAAATGGAAGCTCTCATACACTGCTGGTGGGAATAAAAAATGGTACAGCGGCTTTAGTTTTTTTTTTTGTTTTTTTTTTTGAGACAGGGTCTCATTATGTAATTGAGACTGACCTGAACTCACTATGTAGCCCAGGCTGGTCCTAAACTCACAGTGATCCTCCTGCCTCAGCCTCCCAAGTGCTGGGATTACAGGCATGTGCCACCATGCCCAGTGGCACAGCTGCTTTGGAAAACAATATACAGTTCTCTAAAGACACAGTGTAAAGTTTTCATATGACCCAGCAATTTCATTCCTAGATAGTTTTAACCAAGAAAAATGAAAACATATGTCCATACATGCACACAAAAACGTGTACACAAATGTTCATAGCAGCATTATTTATAATGATCTAAAAGTGGACACAATCAAAGTGTCCATCAACTGGTAAATGAATAAAATCTTGTATGTCCATACAATGGAGTATTATTTGGCTGTGAAAAGGAATGGAATACACATGCTACAATGCAGATGAACTCTGAAAACATTACACTAAATCAGAGAAGCTAGTTATAAACAATCTCACACTGCATGAGTATTTAAATTAAATGCCCTAAAGAGGCAAATCTATAGACACGTAAGGTAGATTAGCAGTTCCTAGGGCTGGCAAAGGAGGAAGAGATTGGGGAATTCAGTATTAATGTACATGAGCTTTCATCTGGGGGTGATGGTTGTTCCAATCTGTCGATATGTATTTAAAACAGGGCCAGGGATTTAAATCAGTGTTGCCGCCACCTGCCTTGGTACAAACAACAACAACAACAACAACAACAACAACAACAACAACAACAAAATTGCTTAAAACCATTTGGAATCCAGCACTGCTAATCCAGCTCCAGGTCCTTACATGTTCTCATATGTCCCTACTGAATTACTTTTTAAAAGTAAGGATTATTTTAAAAAAGATAAATACTGTGTAAGGATATGGAATTGAAGTGTTACTTTTACTTTTTAAACTTCAATGTGTTTTTAAAAAGTATTTTTGTTTAGTTCCTATTAATTCCTTTAGTTTTTGGTATCCAACTGTGCCTGCTTAAAGCTCAGAGAATAAATTAAAGTCTTGGTTTTGTCTACATAGTTTTCATGGGATGTGAAGATTTTTAAGAGCTTTGGCAGTGGGGCTTCAGTACCTACTCTGCAATCAAGACTGAAAGATGACTTTTGAGACTTATTTATTATTCCAGATTCTGTGTGAATTTTTACAGTTTCATTTGTGCTTTTTAAAAAGGGGGACAGGTAGGAATAGTATGGGAATGAACAATAAATTGTTACGAATGACGTAAGCATATAGTAATTCTTTTGTTTAAAGCCTTGCGTAAGTATGTAATTGAATTCACTAAAATATATCATGGCACAATTTCTGAGTTCATGACTTACACTGTGAGTATAAGTTTCTGCATACACTGGATGGGGGAGGTAAGAAATTAAAATGTGGCCTTTGAGGTTTTGTTGAGTTTTGATACACTTTTAATGTGTGTTTAAGTGGGAATCACTAAAGGTTACGAGTGCCCTTTAGTTCATTAGGAATCAATTACAAAGCCTCTTAAGCATTAGAGTTTAAGGGTTTTACAGAACATTGAGCCATAGTTAAGCACTTTAATGATGCTGAAATTATTTTATATGTAATACTGACTTTAAAAAAATAATATTTTTTTATTTTGGCCATGGATGTTTGCTAAAAGTCCATAAAACTATTAAAGGGAATATTTTCATATAAGAGAATTTATGAAGGATTTCTTTTTTTAAACATAATTTTCCATAGGAAAAGGTTAGTTTTTTTCCTTTACTGGTAGGGAGGGTTTATCTAAGTTTGTTTGCAAATATACGCATATAGGTTTGTGTGTGGGGGGGGATATTAATGTGATATTCCAATGTTCATATAGGTATATAGGTTTATGTCTGTGTCCACCTAACAAGATCCCATTTTTCTGAAGTGTATAATCTTGACTCCTTTTAAGTGCTTAAGTGCATAATTTGGCCATTCAAAATTGCAATTCAATGGCTTTTAGAATATTCAGAGTTGTGTAACCATCACTGGAGTCAGTTTTGAAATATTTTTGTCACCTTGGGAAGAAATCCCACACCTGTATCTTGTTCCTAACCTTACTTCCCCTCAGATCTAGGCAACAGCTCATCTACTTCACATCTCTCTGCATGACATTTCATATGCACAGCATCATATCTTTTTATGTGTTTTAAGTTAAATATTAAATGCTTAAAACAAATTTGTTCTTCAGAGTAGCCTAGTGGTGAATCTTTAATTTTGTATATTTAAAATTTGAAAAATGTTTAAACTTGAAATGCTTCCCCCCCCCCAGAAAATACCTTGAAATTTACTGATCGAAAAAATAATCAATATTTATGTCATCATGATCAGGTGTATGTATTCTTTCTGTGAGATTATCTATGTGGCTTTTGAAGTAGTGAATTTCAAAGGTATAAGGGATTTTCTTTCATTTTTGAAATGAGATCTTTAAAGCATGTTAGAAATGTTTATAGATACTCAGTCTTGAATGACTCATTCAACTCAAGTGGGTGTTTTAGCTACCAAAAAAATCTTCATTAAAGCAATAACTTGAGCTCTGTGAAATTATTGCATTTCTTCAGGTTTGTTTGTCTCAAAGGAATATTGCTTTATATAAATATTTTGTTGGCTTTGCCAAGGTAAAATAGGATATAACCTTTGTAGAAAAGGGGATGGAGCACTGTGTAATAGGCTTGTATAGGATCATTTATATACAGGTTGAACATCCTTAATTGGAAAATCCAAAATCTGAAATACTCCAAAGTCCTCATTTATGAGGTCTGACATGACACCACAAGTGGAAAACTTCACATCTGTCCTTATTTAGTAAGTCACAAATACAGATGCCCCAAATATATTGTATGAAATTGCCTTCAGGCCAAGGTATTTTGAAACAAATAAATTATATGTCTATTTTAGGTCTCATCTCTGGGTTCTCTCATTGCATGTGTGCAGACATTCCAAAGTATTAAAATAAAGAGGAAAAACAAATGAAATCCAAAATACTCCTTGTCCCAAGGATTTTGGATAAGAGATACTCAACTTGTCCTATTTTTCTGGGATCCTAATATCTGAAGAATGAAGAGAACAACATAATCCTCAATAGCCAGTTTGTTTATGGCTAGTGGGGATAGATGATAAGTACTAGATCCAATGTCATCAAGTATAGTTAAGATGAAAGAGTTTCCTCAAAGTTTTTTAAAGCTGCAGAATTTAGATAGGATCTAGTCTTAATGCATAAGCTGTTTGCACTTTTAAAAAGAAACAAACAAAAAAGAAACAGTGTTAAGATCCTAGTAAGAGTTCATTATTTTGATTCACAAAAAGATCATAGTCTTACAAAACTGGATATATTTGTCTCTGCTTTGAGACATGAGACAGCTGTCCCTGGATTTTTTTTTTTTTTTTTTTTTTTTTGGTACAGGGATTGAACTCGGGACCTTGCATTTGCAAGGCAGGCAGCCGCACCACTGAGCCAAAGCCCTGAGACAAAAGTAAAAGTATTCCTCAAGCATAGCAATTGCTGATGCTGAAAGCATTCTATCATCCTACCTTTGGACAGCCTCAAGATTTCCCTTGGGTGTATACTATTTTTACTCTAGAGGCCTATAGATTCTGTCATCTCCAAAGTAGGAGCCATATTTTCAGAACCTGAATGTCACAATTGATCATGACTCCTTATTTTGTTCA